TTGATATGCAAATGGGTAATTTGTATATATGAAAATTGGGTTGATCCTTGTATTTGGAAAACCACTTAATAATTAATTTGATTTTTATGCCATGGATCACCAAAAAGTTTATTGTCAGAGTTGACGCGAACTGCAGACCATCTAGGGTACTGGATGCCATTACATATAAAATGCGTGTCGACATGCATACAAGAAACTCGAGTACACCATCAATGGAAAATTGATGGTAAGATTAGGACGACTAGGATTTGTCTATTAACACGATGGTGTCCCTTGACTGCGTTCTTGAAGTTTATTAATGGCTTCAACTCACTACAACTTGATTTAATTAGCTTTGATGTATACTCATTGTAGCATCTTTTTTTTTTTGGTTCAATCTTTTTCTATTAGCACACTCCTTTTCTTTTTCTTTTTAAATGCAAAAGTTATACACATTAGCAAAGCAATAATGTCAACTAATTATATGGGCAATGTCAATTTTTTATTTAGAAATTGTATGGTGATATAATTGCATGAGCGAAAAATGTACAGTATGAAATATGGGGCTATTAATTGCATTGGTACATTTTCCTCGTAACGTTTCTGTTGTTCCTTGTAACATTTCTGTCGTGGACCCCAAATTTGATGGTTACATGTTTTCTGCCTAATGTTTTCGAAGCTTTGCCTTCTACATTTGGGTAAATAAAAAGATTTTGAGCTCATAAGTTTTTCGCACTTTACTTAGTTAATCATAGAGGAAAATTTACAGTGATGGGAAGTCTGTGTGTAGAACAGAGGTTTCTCACTGTAAATAGTTAAGTTATGAGATCACTTAAGACTTGGCACATGTTCTTGTTGCAGAAAAGCTTCTATGAAGCAGTGTTAAAATCAAAGCTTCCTTTTTACTTAAACATTTGAAAAACATGTTGAGTAAAAATCCCTATAGGTATGATTACTAAGTGAGAATAGTTAAAACAGTTGTGTACATGATCCTGAGTACTTTATGCAGCGAAGAACATGACTCAGTCACAAAGTTCATAACCAAAGGAAGAAAAAATCTGAGTATAGCAGCAGTAAGCCTTAGGAACTACGATCTGCCTTATTATTTCTCTCTTACAAGCTTGTAAGATTTACAGTGATGAATGACTAAATTTGTTCAGTAGTCTTGATGCTTTGGTTTGGCCGAGTTAATATTTCGTGTAAGAAGACATATCAGTTATGTAGGGTAAGAATGGTGATGAAAGAAACACGAAAATTGTGGTTAGTAGTAGCAATAGAATAACTGCATACACGCGAAAACATTTTTCATTCTATCCATCTTCTCTCTAATCATTAATTATATGTATGTTCTCAACTTCACCTAACGCCTTTCTCTTGCTTCTCCACTTTCTTGATCTACTATCTTTAGAGGTTTTTAAAGAGAGAATCACGAATTCAGTCCTTTGTTAGAAGCAGCCCTTACTGAGTAAGAATGTTGCTCTATTTGTTAGCTGAAGTTCACACTCATATATGACTGTTAAGGAGTCAACTCTCAAACTAACAGTTGCTGTTGTTTTCAACACATAATAAGAGTTCTTTTTTCTTTTTGATAAGCCACATGATTAGTGCAAGTTATGGATGAATTTGACTGTACCACCAAATAGTCCTTGAAAAAGTTCGATTACTAAAGCTTGCTCCTTTGACAGAACGATACAAACTCACCATCTTAAAGATCTTGTACAAGTGAGAAGGAAAGCTGAAAGAAAAAACAAAGGAGTTAGAAACATCAGCTTTGAGTAAACTAAGAGGACTGAGTCCTCAGGTTGAAACTTTTTTTTTTTTTTTTTT